ATGACGAAGGATAAAGTTTGCAGAAAAAGCTATTTTTAACATAAAGGTCAGCTTCAAGTTCACATTGTCATTGACCTTGATGTCATTTGAAAGAGAGTCATTAGTAAAATACATATCAAATATGAAGTTTCTATCTTTCATGGTACAAAGGTTATGGCGACGGTTAAAGTTTGCAGACAAGAAGACAAAAAGAAAGCTAGACAAACAGACAGCTAGACAGGACAAAAACAATATACGCCCTGGATCTATCAATCCGGGTGCATAAAAATACGATTATCGGTTTACAAGATCACCTCTTTGTCCCAAGCTATAATAAATATGTTTACCAAGGTTACAAGTATCCTTATAGTTCTCAGCATAGAACATTTGCACTAATATGAACATGGATGGATTTTTATGCACCTGGATCGAAAGATCCGAGGCGTATATTTTTTTGTCCTGTCTGTCGGTCTGTTTGTCTGTTTATCTGTTTGTCTGCAAATAACCATTCGCCATAACTTTTGAACCATGAATGAAAGATACTTCATATTCATAACACTATGCGCCCGGCGGCATCAAAGTTAAAAAAAACATATATTAAGCATATAGGGCACAGTCAAGGTCACAAGGTCATTGATCTTGATGTCATTAAAAGGAACTTGATTAGTAAAGTATGCATAACAAATATGAAGTCTCTATCACTCATAGTTCAAAAGTAATGGTGAAGGTTCAAAAAGGCTATTTTTAGCATATAGGACACAGTCAAGTTTAAAAGGCAATGGACCTTAGTTTCATTTTGAAAGTTCTTTATCAGTGGTATATAAATATCAAATATTAAGTCTTTGTCTTTCTTCGTTCAAAAGTAAATGCCGAAAGTTAAAGTTTGCCGACAAAAAAAGCTATATTTAGCGTATAAATCGCATTTAAGGTAACAAGGTCACTGACCATGGTGTTTTTTCAAAAGAGCTTAATCATTGGTTTACGCATACCAAATATGAAGTTTCTATCTTTTATGGTTCAAAGTTAGTGCGAAGTTTGCAGTAAAAAACAATTTTTAGGATATAGGTCACTGTCTAGGTCATAAGGTCCTTGATGTCTTTTGAAAGAGCTTAATTAATGGAGTATTTATATTAATACGAAGTCTCTATCATTCACGGTTCAAAAGTAATGGCAAAGGTTAAAGTTTGCAGACAAACAGACAGACAGGAGAAAAACAATATACGCCTCGGATCTTTCGATCCAGGCGCATAAAAATCGATAAATTCCCATCTATAAATTATACTATAAAACTATAAAAAGTGAAATGACCTAGGTTGACTTAGGTTGTAAAGTGAAACGACTAAGGTATCTAGTGAAATGACCGAAGTTGTAGAGTGAAATGACCTAGGTTGTAGAGTTATTTGACCAAGGTTGTAGAGTGACATGACCTAGGTTGTAGAGTGAAATGACCTAGGTTGTAGAGTGAAATGACCTAAGTTGTAGAGTTAATTGACCTAGGTTATAGAGTGAAATGACCTAGGTTGTAGAGTGAAATGACCTAGGTTGTAGAGTGAAATGACCTAGGTTGAAGAGTTTATTGACCTAGGTTGTAGAGTGAAATGACCTAGGTTGTAGAGTGAAATGACCTAGGTTGTAGAGTGAAATGACCAAGGTTGTAGAGTGAAATGACCTAGGTTGTAGAGTGAAATGACCAAGGTTGAAGAGTTTATTGACCTAGGTTGTAGAGTGAAATGACCTAGGTTGTAGAGTGAAATGACCTAGATTGTAGAGTTAAATGACCTAGGTTGTAGAGTGAAATGACCTAGGTTGTAGAGTGAAATGACCTAGGTTGTAGAGTGAAATGACCAAGGTTGTAGAGTGAAATGACCTAGGTTATAGAGTGAAATGTCCTAGGTTGTAGAGTGAAATAACCTTGGTTGTAGAGTGAAATGACCTAGGTTGTAGATTGAAATGACTTAGGGTTTTGAGTGAAATGACCTAGGTTGTAGAATGAAGTGACTTAGGGTTTTGAGTGAAATGACTTAGGTTGTAGAATGAAATGACTTAGGGTTTTGAGTGAAATGACCTGGGTTGTAGAGAAATACCTAGGTTGTAGAGAAATGACCTAGGTTGTAGAGTGAAATGACCTAGGTTGTAGAGTGAAATGACCTAGGTTGTAGAGTGAAATGACCTAGATTGTAGAGTGAAATGATATTGGCGGAAATGACCTAGGAGATAAATAACATGTTAATGACAAACAAATGGAAGAAATAGGAATATCAGATGTCTCGTTTTAAAGATGCTTAGAAACATATTTCATGTTGATATTTTCTCAGATTTTCTTTACGATTTCATGACTTATATGTTGCTATAGCATTACATACGAAAATCTAAAAGAAATCTTATTTTTGTGAAGAAAAGTAGCAAATTTGTAATGTATTAATGAAAATATCAAAACTATAATCCAGAAAATTCAGAGTAGAAATATGCGAAAGCAAACCCAGTCCTCAGTAATGTGAGCCCGTGTTCAATGTTGTGTATGGAGTTTATCAAATTGAGTACCCCTGAAACCTACACAGTTTTGGTAACAGGACACGAGCTCTGTTGTTGTTAATGTTTACGATTTGCTTGGTTTGTTTAATTGTTAAGGGATGAAAAAAACTCTGATGTGTTGGTTTAATTTGTATTCGCACATTTCTATTCTGAATTTTCTTGACTATAGTTTTAATATTTTTTCATTAATACATAACAAAATTGATACTTTTTTAAGTATCAAGGATAAAGTTACAAATTATGAAGGTGTAAGGATGTGTCAATCAAAGGCGTCTAGAATTTTGAAGTTTTGAAAACTTCTAGAAAAAAATAAGATTTTTATAATATTTTCGTATATGTAATTCTATAGCAACATATACATGTAAGATACATGTATGAAATTATACAGGGAATTTGAAAAAAAAAATATTAACATCAAATCTGTGCCTTAAACATCCTTTAGTAACCATTTTGTAAATTCTATGATCGATACAATGACCTTGTAAGGAAATATAATTCATTTATAAGTCAAATGCTAATTGACCTTTTTGATACTGATTGCTAGAGAATTATTTGCATTGAATTGTTTTCCTACTAATTGTTAGTCCATTATTTATACAATGATTTTAGACTGATTTTCCGTTAGTTCCCGATGACTTGGAGGACAAGGTGGTTATGACCAGTAAGCAGGGGATGCTCACTCCTCCGTGACACCTGATCCCACCTCTGATGTTTTAGATGTCCCTGAAACATCAGAGGTGGGATCAAGTGCCATGGAGGAGTGAGCATCCCCTGTTTTAATGTTTCCTGTCCAGATGAAGTGTGATAAAAGAAACTTGCATTTTTAAAGAACTATACATGAAAAGTGACTCAAATGGCCCCTTAAAATGAATATCTCAATTCTTTATTTACAGCTCTAATTTGCATGGCTAAATATATCACTTTTATTGGTAATTTTCAATTTAATAAAAATGCCATTAATTTTAAACGTCTTCTTCAAGTAAAATATCCAAATATAAAGCAGATGTTTCTGACAGATGAAATCAATATTACGCTCAGAAAAAACCCCCCAAAAATCTACGTGAGTCACAGAATCGAAGGAAACAAAGAGAAAAAAAAACTCACCAAGGCTATGTTTTTGTTTAATAGAAAATATAAAGACAGAGAACGACATAAAATATATAATAAAACATCAATATTATTATGATATATCACTGTATAATTAACAAGAAACTGGTTACATTTACTTGACATTCTTATTTAATATTTATGACAATAGGACAACAATTACATTACTCATATATGATAATTATTCATAAAGGTATTCTTTATAATTGAATGGTCAATTTATTGCAACTCTAAATGTCAATGATACATTATATTGTCGATTAATTTTAAAATATGTCTAAGAAGCATGACAATTAAAACGGTATAACATGTAATAATATCTCATTCGATAATCTTAAAACTTAAGTACCAGAACTGACCGGTGAATACCATGAAATACTGAAAACAATCTCTAACATGAGATATATTGGGAAAATACAAAATTAAATTTATTTCTTTAATTTTACTAAATCTTAAAAAATAAACATATAGACAGATTAAACTGAGTATATCTAAAACTGCATTTCCTAATATTCAATATATATCACTTCTATTTTATTTAAGGAATGAAGCTTATTTCAACTTATGTTATCCGATATAACAAAACTTGGGTCAGTTTACGCTTTATCAACCGCGAAGCTTCATTCCTTATAATTTAATTTAAGTGTAGACAATGAGACAATATTTCCTCCGGAAAAAGGCTTCAAATTGAGCATTATTTCAAAAGTAACGTCAAGCGGAGTAATACGTTTTTGACGTAATTCATTGTGACGTAGGCAAGTTATGTTATACGAAATGGATAAAATCTTTTATCCAATCAAATGACATGTTACAACTAAAATTAAATTATTTACATTTAATTCATCTAATCTTATAAAAAGCTTAGAAGTAAAATAAAGATATAAATGCAAAAGATTAATAAAAATGAGTATGTCTAAAACTGCATTTTCTAGTATTCATAATATATCATTACTCCAGGCCCCTTTCCCATCAACAATACGCAGCAGAACATGTTACCCCTATAGTATTTCAAGAACAAAACTCAAGTTTTTGATTAATGTTTCATTTCAGTTTATTAATCAGAAATCCAAGAACATAATGAATTGTTTTAATCCATCTATATTATTATGTTTTAACAAGAAAAAAGCTTCTTCTTTGGTTTTGATATTTTTACTATATTCTACACTGAATCCCAAGATCCTTTTCAAGGAACATTAAAATAGTCCAAATGGGGTCTTTAACTTTATTTATTGACCTTTGTATAGAAAAATCTGACCCGAGCATAAAGAAATAAAAGTGGAATTTTAGTAAACTGTGCTGCATGTGTGTAATTTTTTTTTAAAAATCTAGGATTAAGGGCTGATGATAAAAAAAAAATTATTTTTGGAGAAGACTTAATATCATGTCACAAGTTTTCTTAATTCTTAAAATGTTTTCTCCTAAGAACTGGAAAATGAAATAGACTTGTAAAATATTACTAATATTTCAATAAAAAAAAACAAATTTATTCTCATCTGTAAACCTTTTTTGACTGTGTTTTATCTATTTTTATAATTTTATTGAAATATTACTAATATTTTCTAAGTCTTTTTCATTTTCCAATTATTAGGAGAAAAAATTGTAAGAATTATCCACTTTTCTAAACTTGTAACATGATATTAAGTCTCCTCCAAAGATAAAATTTGTTTGTATCATCTGTCCTTAACCAAATTTTTGAATCAAAAACTGTTATACCAGGTTGTAATCTTATCCTATGATGTTCTACTGATCTATACCCAACAAAATATGATTGAATTTATAGTTACAAAATGTATTTCTTGCTCTCTCCAATTTCCATTATTCCCGATATCGATATATTCGAAAAATTCACTGATTTTTCAAGGGTATAAATAGTTTGTCCACTGTTTTCATTAATTTTTAAGTCATTCTAAGCGTTTTCTTTCGAATTGTTTTGAAATCAATATCTGTATTTGGTTTTATTCCTGTATTCTAAAAGTCCATCATGGATTTAACAAGCAAACATAAAAACAGGTATACTATAACCAGAAAGTTCCCTTCTTTCAAAGGTGCAGAATTGGTTTCATCAATTGTGTCGGAACAGGTCAAGTTTGCAGCTGATAGACTGACCAATGAAGCTCCGTTTAAGTTCTCAGGAGTGAAGCAGCGTGGATCTCCAGAAACGGAGACACGTCCAGATTTAAGGAAATCGACCAGGCCTATCAACTCACAATCGCAGTGAAAAGGATTATCCTGTATTCTCCTGGATAAAATAGAAAAAAAATAATGCATTTGAATTCCTGAATACTATTCAGGCTTTTTAAAAAATGGCGAACAATACTTTACATATATACTCCCAGAAAAAAACTGTATATATATATATATATATATATATATATATATATATATATATATATATATATATATATATATATATATATATATATATATATATATATATATGGAAAACAATCTTTTTTTTATCATTAAATACCCCTAACCTATTTAAAGTACACTATGGACTTTTAAACCCCAATTGTTTAATTATTTCCCTTGATTAATAATGTTTATGAAAGTAGTGTTTTGCATGATTTTTTTGTTAATCGGGGATTCTTCATTGAAGTTTTGTATTTAGAGAAACAATAAACCCTACTATTAAATCCATATTTTTTGCTTTGATTGCAATGTTGATGCTGAGGAACACAGATGACAGATTTAGAACTGGCTGTTCGCGGGTTACCAAACCCAGAAAGGACCGTCAGATCCTCCCTCAACACCTAGGCAATCGACTCAGAACTGCTGTACAAACTGCTAAATCAGCATAAAATGCACAAATTGTTCGTAAAAGACTAAGTGAGAGAAGCTGGTATTTGTGCATGACGTCCCTACATTAAAAATCAACTAGCGCTGAGATCGAGGTGGCAAAGGACATATGGATTGGTAAAGAAGTATGTTTCTAGAATTTGGAGGCAACGTCAATGACATCAACTTGTTGTCAATTTGGAACATAGGACATATTTAATTTTTATCACAACACACTCTAAAATCACTTTTGAAAATTAATGTTTAAACTGATTATCATGTTTAATCTGAATATGAACTTCTTTTTTGTTGAGTATAGAAAGGATATCTAGATTGTGTGATTTGATATTTGCTTCGCATAGTTAAAATGGAATATATACGAGAGTCTTGCCGAGCAAATATACATGTACACTATTTCAACACGTTTGATAAAGCAAATATTAAATGACACAATTAATCACACAATTTATACTACTTGTAGTTCCATGGTGAGTTATAAGGTATTCAGTCTATTGTAAAAAAGCATTGTTGAAAATGGCTATAAGACTTCTCTGCTTGCCACAAAAAACTGTAAAGAGTTTCTTATAAAACGGGGGAAGATTGAAATGGATTCTTCTTGGCACTACACTGACGTAAACGAATCTGTTTTCTTGCTTATAACATTTTTTTGTTAACTTTCATTATTTTTTAGAACAAGAGTTTTGTTCATCATCAGTATTTATTGACAAGAATTTTCACAAATCATATTGTTGATAAATTAAAATCTTGAAGCAAGGGATTGTGTAAAAACCGAGAGAGCTTTTGATTAACCACCTACCGTGGATAAATCAAAGGCTTTTCTCATTGGTAGTATCAGTCACACGTTTGAGCTTAATAATATATAAATGAGGGTTTTCAAGGAATATTCGAGTAACTCAACTATAGTTCGATTAAAACGACTATTATAACATTCATAGTTCTTATGAGGGGTTTTTCTAAAAGAATTTTTTAAATTAAATATGTGGGTTATATAATTTTCGTTCAATCCTCAACACTCCCTATATCCTCTTAAATATTTTTATAACCAGGTTGTTCTAATTCATGTTACTTTATTCTATTCTTAGATACTTACAGATCTCGTAGATTTGTCAACCCGCTTATTGTGATGTTTTTTATGGAGGATATCCTGTTGTTATCAAGACGTCTAAAAGAAAGTTTGAACGATTGAATATTTAGTTCCGTACGTATACATTTAATGTCAGGATTTAAGAAATAAGTGTCGTTTCAGTTATAATTACATTATATAATAGTTATTATTTTCTTTTCCGTTCTTCACAACTGTGAATTTATTACAATTGATATTGCAAAAAAAAAAATGAATGAGAAACTTACAGTATCTTCAATTTTGTCAAATCACTGAATGCATTGTCCTCTATTTTGGTTATACTGTTATCGAATAGAAACCTGAAAGAAATTTTAAGATTGAAAGTCAACTACAAGTATTTGTCACCCTGAAAATTCATTACAACTTTACCTCAATCTTAAAAATAAATATGATCATGAAAAGCAGTGAGCCAGTGACTATAACCGGTCCACAGGGAAAGCTATCTCCTCCATGGCATCTGATCTCATCTCTGATGTTATATATTGGTCCATGTTTACTTTGATCCTGAAGTGTTTTGTTTTATTGGACTTTTGAGCCCGAGTATTCTATATTATCTCCTTATATTTTATTGTATTGTATTTACACTTCATATATTTCAAATAAATCAAGTGAGTTACATATATCAGACTCTTCGTTATTCACATTGTAACTCGAATTCAAAACACACAATGTAATACATGCACTATGGTGGATATGTATGGTTACGTATTCTTAGAAAAAAACTTACAAGGTCTCTAAGTTCATTAAACCATTAAATAGGTTGTCCTTTATCGTATTTATTCTGTTTCGATGCAGATAACTGGAAGAAAATTATCGGAAAAAATAAAAATGAAGAACATTCTTTTTAAGTTTAATAAATAAGGTAGTTTACACTTTAAATACCACAAATCGCCAACAAAGAAAGAAGGCATAAAATATAACAGTATGAAAGACTGATATTCCAAAAATATATTTTGAATAATGAGCTTAAAGTGTCACTAATCTTGTCAAATCATTCTATAGATGAATGCATGGAATGTTTATGGTTGGGGAATTGATATCCCCCAACTCCCCCACCCCCCAACCTTCCAAAATAATTAATTTAGAGTCTATCTAATTTTGTCAAATAATTGAATGAATCACAACACGGGATATAATAGTATGGAGGACTTATATTCTTATTCTTATATTTTGAAATAACACACTTACATTTCCCGTATTTTTTTCAAACCTCTGAATGCATGGTCTTCTATTGTGGATATAAAGTTGGATGTTAAAGACCTGAAATATATAAGATATTATGAAGAATGAATGTCAAATACAAGTATTTGTAATTTTACCTCGTTCTTAAAAGAGATTTTAATAATGAAAAAAAAAAACATAAATAACAAATACTTTTACTACACTCACAATGCAATGGCAGATAGATTACGTAGAACACATTTGTCAATTTTAATTACGCATCCCATGGCACCTGATCCCACCTCTGATGTTTCGGGGGTCCGTGGCTGCTCTGCTCTTAATTTGTATTGTTTTATGGCCTTTGAGATTGAATACTGTTCGTTATCTCCATATCCTTCCTTATTGAGTAATTGCACTGAACAAAGGTTTATATTGGTATGAATAGCTCATCTAAAATCTGTAACTAATATTCTGTTTAATAATGAAATATTTTATCTGCCTTTCATAGATCATGAAATTTGTCATTTTTATAATCAATATGATGTCATGTCGACAAATGATATTGCTATCAAAGAATTGTTATGACCTGCTATGTGGGATTTAACTAGCATTTTTTAATGCAATGATCGGTTTTAATTGTGTTAATTATGCTAATGCAGCGTTAAGTTGTAAATTCTTTCATTTTTGGCTTAATGAAAAATAACTATTTATGTGTGATGTCATTATAAACATTTCGCGTATAAATTAGGCCCCGTCACCGTTTTGTAGTCTTTACAATGATACAGAACTCTTAGAGGAAGGATATGGAGATAACGAACAGTATTCAGTATCAAAGTAAAAAAAAAATACAAAATAGGAACAGAGTAAACACGGACCTCCGAAACATTAGAGGTAGAATCAGGTGCCATGGAGGAGTGAGTACCATGGAGGAGTGAGCACCCTCTGCTTACCGGTCTAACTCGACGTTTGCTCCTTGTCAGGTCCGGGAAATAATGAACAAATCCCTTGTCAATTAAATGTATAAAGAATAGACTAACAATTAGTATGAAAAGCCGCAGTCAGCATCTGGCTCAATGATAAATTGTATTTGATGACAAGGTCATTGTATCGACCGTAAAGCTTACGAAATAATGACTTTAAACGAGTTTGTTGGTATTCTTGTTTCATGAACTTCCTTGTAAATAATATATCTCGTTTTAGAAATTGTTCGTACGTAGAGCATGTTCTTGCGTATCGATTCATCTGATATATAAAGACTCCGTCTGCAGGTGATGAAGGAATATTGCTGCATAAGTAAGGGAAATTGACGATAGAAAAGTTAAAGTCATCACGTTTATTATACCCTAATTCTGGATTTTTTTAATGTAGATAAATATTTAGCAAAATTTCGCGTGCAATGCATTCTCAAAAATATTTTTCTTAAAAATTATTGAACATGTGAAGAATTTTTTTTCAAAGTTGTCTATTTTTTAACTCGGTGAATAGGCGTCGGTAAGCACTGGTCAATTTTAAAAAAGAAACCTCGCGGGTATGTTAAGGCAGCACATGGATCAGAATTCAGAGAATTAACACTTTTTTATAATTATGTAACACTAATAAATCGGAAAAGTCAAGGATAAAACTTTTGAAATTGACTTCAATGAGACTTATACTACGGGAGAAAACGTCTATAATTAGAAAAAGCCTTAATGAAAAAGTAAAGTCATTAGTTTCATTTTGTAATAATTTATTAAAAACATCTCTGTACCATGGAAAGTGCTGCTAGAATTGTACTGTCCTATTATAGAAATAATTATTCAACAATTTCGGACGAAACCTTCCTAAAAATTTTACATTTTGTTCATAACATTGATAAAAAAGCATCAATCCCCGTAAACTAATCGATTCTATCAGCACTTCCCCAAAACAAAGGATTAAGAACTTTAGATAGAAACAAAAATTAAGTCAAAAGTGTTGAACTTTTGCATTTTTGTTCTCGGCAAGTAAACACCCTCCCTGCTATAATTTTACGAAGAAATTGCAAAATTATATTACCAAACCTTATTCATACGCTTTATTCCAACAAGAATCACACATGATATTCATTCTAAATGCTTTTCAACTCCGATTTCTTGTGTTTGTTTACATCAATTCTCGTTACGTTTCATTTTCACTCTGCTACTGCATGATCAACAGTTATGACGTCACGGGTTTGGTATGTAACCCCTGTGATAACTACAGAGGCCCAGGAACGACAAAATTTCGTTAATATTATGCCTTTGCATTTTTCGATTCATTTTTACGACCTCAAATCAATCTTAGATATCGATTTTAAGAAATTGTTATCTCTTAACCTCACGTCATATAGCTTACTATGACGTCATATCATATAGGCAAGTAGAATATTTGGTTGTAACCTTAACCTACCTGCGCTGTTTATACTATCATCATTATTAACTATTTTTACGTCACCTGTAATGACGTGTCCAGTAGTACTATACATAGTTATAGGGCGAAGAAGAACATGAACACGAAGGAAAATTATGTTTCAGATACACGGTATTCAGGCCATGTAAAGTTTTCTTGTCATTGAAAAGTTTGGAAGCAATGACAGAAGTATATTTGTAGGAAATACAAGGTGTAGTCTGTAGCTTGACATATGGTGGAATACATGACTGGACCCTTTGTGATTAAGAATATTACTTATATTAACAGCGTCAATTCCTTTATTGGCATATTGAAGTTTATTAAAAACACTTACTGTTTAGCTGCATTCATATCTGTAAAACATGTGGGTTTAAAAACCTATTTTCTGGTGTCAAGGAATCAAAAATTGGACTTTACTTGGCAGTTTCAAATGGACAGAATAAAGTTTGGTGCGAATATGATGTAGACCTAACTGTTGATTTAAATAAGGTAGTAATGAATCAACATCGCGTTTTGCGGGTTTTTTGTACGATTGATGCCCATGACTACTTGACTACTCTAACGTGTGTGTGTATGGTTAAAAATCCCATCAAATTTACATTATTACACTGTGGAATGCATGGAAAAATTTCCAACACTATCGACATTGTCATTATATCCATAGGGAAAGGCTGCCCTAGTTTTCAAATAAAAATTCTTCTCGTGGTCTACGGTAAGGTGTACTTTGCAGCGACGGACTATTTGTGTGGTGATAAATCTTTTCGAAAATTCTAACTTTCATTGACAAAACTGAATGATCAAGTACATTAAAATATTTGGATAAAAGCTGCTGACCACCATGATTTATTTGAAATCGATGACCTGATATTCGTTTGTTAAGTGATACCCTGGTTTCACCATAAAAACAAGTCCACTTAGATTACATTCAATTCCATATACAAAATTGGAAGATTTGCAGTTCAGATTTTCCCACGTTTTGGTATCAGAGCTCTGTCCAGTAAGATTACTGGTAAAAGACCTTTTGTTTCCACACAGATTACATTCTATTCTATAGACAACATCAGAAATAAAACTTACAGTGTCTCCAAGATCGTCAAACCAGCAAGTTGGTTGTTCGTGATTGTAGTAATGTTGTTATTGTTTAGATATCTGAAAGAAAAAAAATGAAAAATGAATGTCAGTTGCAACCTATTTTTCAAGCAAGTAATTATACAAATTATCCTTGAAAATGTAATTTTGTAATAAAGAATGTATAAATGAGTTTCAATTAATACGGGTATAATTTCTTCTAGCTTCGCAATCCCAATACATGAAAGTTAATTGGTACATGTAAAATCATGATGGGGCAGTTGACGCTTTATTAACTGTGAAGCGTCTGTGATTAATGAATTAATGAAGAATGGACGTGAAAAAATCCCTTTGAAGTTAAATAAATGGGAAAGTGTTTTCTCTTTAATTACTAAAAGCATAAAAAAGAATGAAGACATGGGGTATTATAGAAAGCACAGCGAGCGTTGTGGAGCGAAGCGAGCTTAATAGACTAACGTGTAAGAACAGAGGAAATTCGGAATGAAATATGTACATACGTCAGTCAAATTTTTCTGTGAAACATTCCCAGAATTCCTTTACTATTCCATGTCCGTTGTGCGAATAAATAAATAAATAATAATAACTTAAAAGGCTTTCCGTTTGTTGAAATCTTTGAAAGAAACAAAAAATAATTCTGCAATATTTTTCGACCAAAATTGCACTAGGTCTATAGTTTCATCCAGACGCTCGGCCGTCTCCGTAAGCTCCTACGCAATTTGACATTTAAACCGTCACAGCTCTAGAAATGTCTCTTGATCACAATAAACATTTGGCTGATTAATTTTTAAAAGCTTTTTTTTTTATGGATTTTACAATTTCTGTAGATACTCTTACATATAACTTTCATAAAAGTTTTATTCAAAGAAAAAATATTTTTAATAATGTCAAACCATCTAATTTGTTCTGTTGTAAATGAAGTAATTTAATTTTTACAGCAGAAAGAAAAAAAATTGAAGAGTGAATGTCAAGATAAAGTTTTTTTTTTCTTCAAGTAAAATAAATTTTGCTTGAAAGTTTATTTCTGTACGAAAAAAAAATCAGATAAGTTTCAATTGTTACGGGTATATATTCTTTTAGCTTAGCTTTGCAAATACATGGAATTTAATCGGTATAAACATAGTGGGGCACTTTACCCTTTATAAGAAATGTGAAGCGTTTAAGATGAATGAATTAAATGAGAAAATAGAAAAAATGAAAAACTCCCCTTTCAATCTCAAAGTCCATAAAAAAGTTTGCTCTTTAAGAGCAAAAAGCATATAACACGGACCTCCGAAACATCAGAGGGTGGATCAGGTGCCATGGAAGCGTCATCAATGAAAGAATTAAAGAGATATTACTTATAGTTTGGCTATTTATATACTTATGATATTTTAAATAACGAATTTTAATGTCTCTCTTATTTTGTCAATCATTGAATGAATCCATCAACGGGATATTATATTTTGGAGTATTGGTATCCTTTAAAAAAATTAATAACAAACTTACAGTTTCGTCAAATTTGTAAAACCACTGAATGCATTATCTTCGATAGTGGTTATTCTGTTTCTGCCCAATTTCCTGAAAGATATTGTAAAGAGTGAATGTCAAGTCTAAGCATTTGTTTATAACTCTCACCAGTCTCACGATTCAGGTATATCAAATATTAACAGGTATAGCCTCAATTTCTTTATTCGGTCATTTAAACTACGCATCATACATTAAACTAATTATTTCTTTTAATCCTTAGATTGTTCAATGTATATTCTCTTAACATTTTTTCAAATAAATCAAATGAGTTACATGTAATATACTGAATCTTATTTAGGTTCGGGGAAACATTAATGAAAAAAATCTGGAAATGCAGTTATCGTTCTTGTCATTGTTAAAATAAATACAGGATATTATACTATGATGAATAGTTACTCAAAAAACATATTGATTAAAACATTAAAAAAAACCCTTACAAGTCCTCCAGGTTCGTCAAGCCAGAAAAGGTGGTTTTCTCTATCGTAGTCAACTCGTTCGAAACAAGGTATCTAAAACATTGAAGAGTAAATGTCAATAGCAAGATTTTTGATCCATGCAAAATAAATGTTTATTTATTCTTTAAGAAAAATACAGATTAACCCATAGGAAAGTTTATTATCCTCACAATGCAAATATATTAAATTAAGGACAGATGATACAAAAAAATAAAAAAAGATGTCCGGATTGGTATATATATTTTATAACCTAATTTCATTGCAAATGATGCAAATAATAAATTACTTCAATATAAAGGAATTATGAACCAAATGACGTTCATGTGTACCATACTTTCCTTGAGGTTCAAAACCATACAAATATTCTATACAAATGTTAAAAAAAAATTCATTTTTCGCAACTTTACTTTCAAAATGCAGAATAATGTATTAACGCGGTTTACTGGGATAATTAACGCAATATATTTGCGTCAATATAATGAACATTGTTTAAAAAAGATACCAAAATCAATATTTTAAATTACGGACATACAGCAGTCTCTCTTATCTTGTAAATCATTGAATAAATCCATAAATATTAATATTTTGGAGTATTAGTATTCTTTAAATGATTAATAATATCACACTTACAATTTCTATTACTAATTCTGAATAACAAACTTACAGAGTCTTTAATTTTGTCAAAGCACTGAATGCATTGTCTTCGATTGTGTTTATTCTGTTGTCTTCAAGGCGCCTGGAATATATTTAGAAGTGTGAATGTCAAGTCTAAGCATTTGTTTTAACTCTAACCAGTCTCAATAAATTAAGGTATATACAAATATTAATAGGTATAACCTCAATTTATTTATTCAGACATCTTAACTACGTATCATACATTAAACTAATTCTTCCTTTGAATCCTTAGATTGTTCAATGTATATACTCTTCACATTTTTCAAATAAACCAAAATGAGTTACATGTATTATACTTTCTTAATTCAGGTCAAACATTAATGTAAAAAAAAAAACTGCAAATATATTTTTCTTGCATTGTTGAATCAAAATGTTTTGATATTATATTATGATGGATAGTTACTCAAAAAAATAATATTGGTTAAAACACAAAGAAAACCCTTACAATTTTTTGGTGTACAAGCCAGAAAAGGTGGTGTTCTCTATCGTAGTAAACTCGTTCGAATAAAGGTTTCTAAAACATTGAAGAGTAAAAGTCAAGTTTTTTAATCTAAGCAAAATAAATGTATGTTTATTCTTTAAGAAAAAATACAGATTAACACATGAGAAAGTTTTTTATCCTCACAATACAATTATATTGCATTAAGGACAGATGATAGAAAGAACAACAACAACAAAAAATAGATGTCTTGATTGATATATATATTTTGACCTAATTCCATTGCAAATGATGCAAATAATAAATTACTTCAATGTAGAAAATTATAAACCTTCTGTGACGTTCAAAATTCTATCCTCCTGAAACAATACTTATTATTCTATACAAGTTATTTTTCAATTCAAATTTTATTTTTGCGCAACTTTACTTTCAAAATGCAAATATATTGAATTAACGCTTTATAAACTGCAGAGCGTCAATAAAGAATGAGTGCGTCAAATATTATAGTTTGGAGATTAGATATCCCATAAATATTTCAAATTACGAAATAACAGCAGTCTCTCTTATCTTGTCAATCATAGAATGAATCTAAACATTGAATATTACGGTTAAGAGGATTGATATGTCATATCAAACATTTTAATGAGTGATTGCCCCTAAAAATTTTTGATGTTAACAGAGAATTAAAAAAAAAATTAAACGGTAAGTCGCAGAGACATTGAATAAACCACATATGACTTTTTTGTCAAGGAAGGATATGGAGATAGCGAAAAATATTCAGTCTTGTTTAAAGTCATCATTTCGTTCAGTTCTATGGTCGATACAATGACCTTGTTAGCAAATACAATTTATCATTGAGTCAAATGCTGAAGATGTTTTTCATACCAATTATTATTTATACACTGAATTGACGACGGAAATTTCCGTTATTTCACGATCATGACAATGAGCACACAGTTGGTGTGACCGGTCAGCAGGGGATGCTCACTCCTCCAGGGCACCTGATTCCACCTCTTATGTTTTAGGCATATTTTTCATGAAGCGCGCTTTTCACACACCATATCCTCACACAAAGTCTTAAAAACATACAAAATAGGAGCAGAGCAGACACGGACATTCGAAAAATCAGAGGTGGATCAGGTGCCATGGAAGCATCCTCTGACCGGTAACAGAGATATTTCTCCTTGTCATGGAAATTTATATACTTATGAAAAATCATTTCGTAAATAATTGAATTTTAAGGGGTATGAAAAACGTGAATGAGCATTTGACTCTATGAAAATTTTATTTTTGACAATGACATTGTTATTTAAAAAAATTAAAAAAACTTTAAAGATTCATGATAATTTGTCGGATCACTTGCTTGTAAATAATTTCTTCGTTTTAAAAATTGTTCATACATAAGTTCACCTCAAGGCTCATTTAAAATATTGTGATAAAATTGGAATGGAACAATCCCGGTCCAGAGATTTTTATGAGCATGTTCCCATGCACTTGATGAATGTAACAAAAAAAAAACTGTCAAATTAAACATTATCCATAGGCAATATAATTACTTTACCAGTTTTATTTATATGCCAGGAAATTTAACACACCTACCCATAATTAAACTGTCGTTTAATTTTGTTATTTGAATATATACATTTAGTACAACTGTATAAAAATAATGTATGCACAATTTTCAAATAAACCAAAATGAGTGGTGTTTTACAGGAACTTCTCTTCTTCCCCTTTAGTTGTTTAAAGGAAGAATTTTTTTAATTAATCTACTTAAATGCCTTATTTTCAAAAAAGCCATTATATATAAAAATTTCATGACTTATATTATTTAGCCATTTAACACAAAAACATAATTTTTGTTAATATACAAATCATTTCAAAAAACAATTTTTAAAGATTAAACTGAAAAACCAGAATTAAGGTCTTGAAAATTCTGTATTTTTAAATTCAAAATTTTTTTTGTGAAAAAACCTGTCGTTTAATTTTTGTAAAAACTTTTTTTAATCTGGATAAAAATAAATCTTGTTAAATTTTTATAATAAAAAAGTTTTGATTTAACACGGAAAATTACCCAATCCTTTACAATTATATTGTTCCGACATGGAAAGAACAACAACAACAAAAAATCATGTTCTTGATTATATATAATTTCGACCAAATTACACATTAAAAAAATTAAATTGGAAAATTGCTTTTCTGTGAAAAATATATCAACTTAAACAATTTAAAAGTTCTATATTTAAAGTTATATTTAAATTCAAATTTTATTTTTGGCAACTTTTTTCAAAATGCAATTATATTGAATTAAGACATTAGCTTTATAAACTGCAACAACAAAATAAAAATAGATGTTTGAATTGATATATATAGTTTTTGATTCATGAATGCATAAATATTTCAAATATTGAAATAATATTCTTTAATGTATCAGGAAAAAATATACTGAAGGATTTTCTGTGTAGTCCAATATTATGGGTTAAACAATACATGAAATATGTCATATACAAGTTTTTTTAACTTGAAATGTTGATTTTTAATTTTTTTTTTTAAAAAGAAAAATATTTATTAAAACTCCTGTGATATAAATGCAGAATACATTGAACTTTCAAATATTATTTTTTTGAGATTAGAATGGCCATAAGGGGATATTTCGACAACGAAATAATTACAGTCTCTCTCATCAATATAGTCATCATTTCTTTCAATAAGATTGACGTCGCTTCTAAATTCCGTATTCGAATCCACATTAAGACTTCATAAATATCAAACAAATCAAATATTAAAATTTTTATATTTTTAAATTATAAACGTTTTGTTATTAAAATAAGTCGTCAAAATAAACCAACCACATATGATTTTTTTGTCAAAAATAAGGACATTTGCTGCAATAAGATTTCATAAATGCATAATTTCAAGTTCAAGTGAGCAATCAGGAAATAAAATATATTACATTGTAGTATATGCTGACTGACATTTTTCAATTACCAATTTATCAGGTCTGCTTAAATTGACAACAGATTTTTCAGTTATTACACGACCATGACAATGAGCACACGGCGGGTGTGACCGGTCAGCAGGGGATGCTCACTCCTCCATGGCACCTGATCCCACCTCTTATGTTTCGGATGTCCGTGTCTGCATTACTCCTATTTTGTATTGTTTTTTGGACTTTGAGATTGAATACTTTTCGTTTCTCCATATCCTCACTAAGTCCAAAAAACAATACAAAATAGGAGTTGAGCAGACACGGACATCCGAAAAATCAGAGGTGGGATCAGGTGCCATGGAGGAGTTAGCATCCCCTGCTGACCGGTAACATCCGCCGTATTCTCATAACGGAAATATCAGTCGTCAATTCAGTGTACAAATAATGGACTAACAATTGGTATGAAAAACGTCAGTGAGCATTTGACTCTATGATAAATTGTAGTTGTTGACAATGTCATTGTATCTACCACAGAACTTACGAACTTAAACGAGACTGCTGATATTCTTGTTTATTTACTTGCTTGTAAATAATTTTCCTCGTTTTAGACATTGTTCATACGTAAGATCACAGGTCAAGATCATTTAAAATATGAGATAAAATTGGAATGGAACAAACATCCGGTCCAGAGACTTTGCTGAGCATGTTCCCATGCACTTGATGAATGTCGAAAAAACGTGTCAAACGCTGTAAACTTATCCATACCTGGCGATATAATTACTACACCAGTTCTAATATGTACATATGCCAAGAGATTAAGAACCTTAAATCTTTTAATTGAAATATGTATTACGAAAAGTAAATAATAAACTCCATTAAAAATGGAGTGAACAAACTTTCACTGCATCTCATACAGCAGATTAACTTAGTCCGTGATGATTAAAAATTTGGACAGGCTCTCTCTCTATCTCCTTCTCCTTCTCTCTCTCTCTTTCTCTCTTTCTGCTGAGCAATTCATTTTGGTAGAGCAATTCATATTTGTAATGAAAAGTTATTTAACAGTTAAAGTGAATATAATAACGATGTGATAGGTAGATGTGAAAGGTAAAAAAAGCAATAGATCTACAATTAAACGTTTCGTTTATCATTAATTGTTTTTTTTTAAATTCTAGAAGTCAAGTTGGCAAAGAACTAAAACAAAATGTTGACACTGATAAATGAACTTTTAAACTACTTCAACGGTTTATTTTATATCTTTCTTTTTTCATGCAAGATCATGTTTTATCAAAACAGTTTATGTTGCCGAAATGAAAATCGTAATTACAGGTGAGACATTATGTTCTTCTTTTATAATTTACACCAAATTAGAAATAAATTGTATACTTAATTACAATGTACTTACAAATAACATGTGTCGTTGGGGAGGGTGGAAGGTACTTCTGTTAAACTTTTATGATGGCATTGTGCGGACTGTCCAGAGCACGTCGTCGAATTTTGACAGTTGCAAGGTCTACAGGCTTCAATCATAGAATCAAATAAAAAAACACAGAAAACCAACGCCCATAGTGTCCAATTCATCTTACAAACCGGTAAGCTATGTCTACAACTTGTGTCAAACTCTGCAGTACTAAGGAATACTCTAACTTTCCCCAAGGATGTTTTTATACCGTAGATGTACCTAAATACGGAT